AAAAAAAAAAAAATATATATATATATATATGTATATATTTGTATATATTTTCTCACAGAAAAGCAATGAGAGCGATCTTAGATCAGTGGACTTCTATCCTGGAAACGGGACGTTTGATCTCATGTACTATCCCTACTATGGCAAGATCACTCACGTAAGTAAGAACTCATGTTGTAGCCGCTCTGTGTCACGGCTGCTTGGGAGAGGAGGGGTGGGCAGGAGTTACTGCGCGGGGTACGGCTGCGCTTGCTGGCCGGTCTGGGCAGATTCAGGCGGCAGGGAGGCCGCGCGAGCAAGGAGCGCGCGAGCCAGCGGGGCGTTACGCTTCCTCGGCTCTATTTCTGTCTGTGACGAACCGCGGGAGCTCCCTGGGGACTCTGCTTGCCTCTCGCCAGCACAGGAACGATTACATTCATCTTCTGGAGACTAAGACTGGTTTGGCTGTTTCCCTGGAGAAGGTCTCAGCACCAGCACGTTCCCAGGGCGTTGGGAAAGCTGGTGGCTAGGTGACAGAAGAAGAAAAGCACAGGGCTGCTTTCAAAGATAAAACCAACGCGCTTCAGGGTGGGTGGCTCGACACAGAGTTGTCAAACGTTGGTGACTGACATGCTGGCCCTCACTGGTTCGGTCTAAGCCAGTTTGTACAGCGGTAGGAGCTAACGCGCCTTCATAGCAAAAGCCGAAAGAGAAGATGCGGCAGCTGTTAGACTCCTATTGCGATAGCAGCTGCTGCTGCAGGCAGGATGAGTAAGGATGAATAGCAGCACCCCACAGCTAGGTCTGCCTGGCCTTCGGACACACTGACCTGATGGAGCACCGTGGATTTTTTTTTTTACCACAAGCTGTAACTCAGCTTTTTAAATGGGCAAAAAGTAGTTGTGACTCCCATTATCCAGCAGTATTGCAGTTCAGGCAAACGACCCAAGAGGCATGTTCCAGTGCCAAACCCAAATGTCCGAGCCCCAGTCACTCCGAGGCACGGACACAAAACAGCTTGGCCTCAGGGTCCAGAGCGATGTCGACAGCAGTAAGGCACCGCGCTCGGATGCCTGAGAATTGTGAACCAGATGCTCACTGCTTTTATTGAACATGATAGAGCGTTGCCTGCCTTTCTGATCCCTAAAAATTATACTGAACAACTCTCCATTCTTTTCAGGTCAACTATACATCCCCCCTGGTGGCTATGCACTTCACAGATGTGAAGAAGAATAATTTGGTCCCTATTCAGTGCAGTCTGAAAGGGGAAGGTATCATCAACGATGTTAATAACGACCGCTTCCTGGGCCGAATCATCTTCACGCTCAGCATTGGAAAGTAGCCACTACAAATACTTATGTCAGTCAGAGGCTTTTCCCTTTTCAAAGCCTAAAAGCCAGTATTTTTTCTGTGAGGAAAACTAGACACAGGGAAAATTTTAACTTATTTTTGTTCATATTTAGGAAACAAAGGAGATGTAATTGAGCAAGGAACCACATATTTAAAGATCTGATGTAAATTTTTACTAGCAAAAATTAAAAGTTATATCCTAAGCAGAGAACCTGCTATACCATTTCAGTTTTAATTTAAAAAGCCCTAGTATCTGAACCCTATTTTCATAAGGTCATTTTGAAAGGGACCCCTATGGAATGCATTTTTCCTGGCTTTATATTTTAATCTTTTACCAGAGTCTCACGTGCATTTCTTGGCCAAAGCTAACAAGATGGTAGTCTATTAACGCTATCAAAACAAAAAAAAAGCAAAAATTCTGGATTATTCCCAAATGAAAATGGCAAATCTCAGAATACCTCCTAGGGTCTTTAGCACCGGGGCACCTTTGACTGCAGCATTGTACGCTGCTTGTTCAGCGCGCGTTAAGGTGTTGGAGAAAAGACCACGCAGAGAAACATTTGCTTTAGACTCTTTCCAGCTGTTCCCTTCTGAACTGGGAAGATTAACGTGTTTCTCCCTCCTCCTCACTTCAGCAAGTGAGGTGGCTCCCTTCCCAGGCTGGAGGCTCCTCCTGCCCTGCTCAGACACAGAAGCGCCAGGGGAACTGGTCAGGCCTCGCCACACATTCTAGGCCCAGTCTTCCCAATCGCAGAGAGGCCACAGTTATAACGCTCTACAAAAGCACAGGAAAATGCTTAATCGTGTTATCCTTAAGGGGTCAGTGCAGATCTCGGTGTAGGTCATTAGTTTATCAGCCCAGGAGGTGTGTGAAGGACATTCACTGGAGCCATCTCTCCCTTCTGTCGGGCCAGCCTGGCCCTCCCGGGCCACTCCTCAGCCTTGGGCCAAACAGAGATTCCCACTGGCCTGGGTGGACGGGCCAGTGAGCAGCGAGAAACATCCAGGCAGCATTTCAGGCAACAAAGCAGTTCTTGTCTGGAGCAGGTCAATCGTGGCTGAAGCACAGGGTGGAAAGCTGGAAGACTTGTGCTCTAACAGGTTTCCCAATTCACCCCGGGGAAGCCATCACTTTGCTCCCTTCCTTCAGCTCCCCAGTGGGGTTGTGTTATCTCAGAGAGAGGTTACAAGGCTTAATTTGTTGCCAGTATCTAGAAAATCCTTTGCTATCTTTGTTTGAAAGTTCCCTAGAAGAGCAAAGCACGGTGGTGGTCTCAGTACCTACTACAGTAAAATCCTCCATTTCTAGACATTTGAACTATGGACACTTTAAAGTAGTTTCGATTCTTTAGAAAATGAAATCTGTTTTTGATAATACACCTTCGTATTTGAGCCACAGATGAAATAGACACTACATGTTATTAGTTCTGAGAACACAGCAGGATAGTTTAGGATACTGTATTCACTGGAAAGCACATTTACTAAAATTGCTTACTGACTAAACAAGAGCATTGCGGTGTTTGTCCCACGTCCCAGCTCAGATACTTAATCTGCCATCATTTCCTTATCTATATCAAAGTCTAAGAAGTCATTTTTGTATTAAAAATAAAGCTGACTACAGTAAAACTAATTGTATGCTTTCATTCTTAGAACACTAGTGTAACAAATATAATTTGTAATTTTTGTCACCTCTGCTGGCCATTCAGGGGCTAGATTTTAAAGATGTGTGTAACTCAACTCTTGAATTTTGAGCATTAGATTAACTTTCTAGAGCTGAAGAGATCAGAAGCTCAATATAATAAGCTTCACTATATGGCAGGTATAGGAAACTGCCTGGCAAAAGCTGCTTTTTAAGAAATATTAAAAATCTGAAACTGAGGAAATTTAGGAGCTATTTTTCTTGACAGAGAGAGGGCAATAGTATCATTCTGCTGGCACAACTTATCTTAAAGGGCACCTTCCAATCAATAGAAAATGAAGACGACACTGCAGTGGTAGCAGCTCTTCCTTTGACATCAGAAAGGAGTTAAAACCACAGATGTTTCCCAGTCTGCCAATTCCTTCAGCTCTTTTAAAACAAGGATCTACACTTTTATTTCTATAGGATTCTGAAAGGAAACAAAAACCTCCATGCTTCAGGCCATGAAATTAACAGCTATCCAGCTGACAACAGGATAAAACTTTATTTGTATCTATTCCACAGCTGCCTATTAGGATTCACGAAGCAGCTGGTACTGTGTGTTAGCAGATACTGGATCTATGCTTTGACCCAATGAGCAAAGACAGATTAACTAACTGGGAAGCAAGTGCATGAGCGATTTAGAAGTGAAAGTTTCAGTTTCCACACCAACACCCAGATGAGGCATGCTGACAGCCTCATTAGAAAAGCTTTGAAAAATTGCATGCATGTCTACTTAAACTAAACAAAACTTCATAAACATCATAGTTAACTTTATTGTTTCATATACATTCTGCTTTCAGCAGATTTGTACAGTCATTTGCAAATTCAGAGAAACGTATACACCATTCTTCATGCTACAACCCTAAAGTGCTGGTTCAATTTTTGACTTCTATTGAAGCCCAAAGTAGTACTTAAATATATATATATTAAATATATA